TCTCAATTGAACAAATAACATTGGGCATGGACAAGCATTCGAGTCTCAGAAGACTCATAAGTTCCTTGGGACTTTTCACACATTTTCACAAGACGAACTGCGCCGCCTTTACGTATGCTCGGGCCTATTGTCTGTCCATAGGCAGATTGCGCGAATATACCAAAGAGTAGACAGTTCACACACTTCACATTTACAAAAACGCAACAGGTGCACCCTGTACACCTCTTACACAAAAAATCAATATACATCAGGATAAATCCACACACGTGAGAGTGATAGGGATCGTCACATAGAGAGATAGTCTTTAGTCTTTATTATGTATAGAGTTAGGCTATCTTAACTCCAACGGAACCAAAATAGCCTTAAAGTCACACATCTCCTTAAGGTTTAGCAACCTCAACTCCAGGATGTGCAGGACAATCTCTGCCCTATCAAATCCTTACCGGACCTTATTGCTAAGCTCTCACTCGCTCTCTAAAACTTATCTTTTTCAATGGTCCTGATCGTACAATAGTAATAATAATAGTAATAATATTATTACTATAGAGCTGATCCGTTCGATAGACGACGAGTGGCTTCAGTCTCCGAGCGTTTGGGATTGGTTAGACCGTGAGCTCCGAGCCGGCCCTAAGTACGTGACCTGCATCGGGCAGCTCTTCTCAGACGACTGGGGGGGCTCGTGGAGTGAGGACGTCGCGCGACCTCTGATATCCGGCCATTAGTTGGTGGAGTACTACGAGGCTATAGGACAGGCACCATACCGCGTCGAGGACGAGTTTGACGACGAGGGTTGGGAGCGAGAGGACGACGAGGACGCTTGGGAACCAGACTGGGTCGACCCAGAGAGTGAGGTTGACGAGGAGGACATCGACGTTACGGACGCCCACTTTCCCAGGATAGGAGTAGCCGTCCGGGCGTAGGAGGCAGAGGAGCACATTACAGCGGCGGTTGAGTGAGCTTAGCTACTGATATCGGCGAGAGTGGATCGATGATAGAGCAGGCCAGTGGAGTGGAGCTTAAGATCGACGACGCTACGACCTTCAGAGACAGTAGCGCCAGGCAAGGTGGCGCTGGATCTGCCGGCTATAGGGGTTTCCGCGGATGCGATAGAGAGTCGATGGTCATCGACGGTGTTGGGCCCAGACGTACACTTGTGGACGTATGTCATCGAGACGTTTGACCTAGACAGTCTGAGGTGGCGATGAGCAGCCACGACTAGCATAGAGGTAGTGGGCCACATTTCTTACTCATGGGAGGTGCTAGCCACAGTCTATTTTCACAGCATCGTTCATGATCATTGGCGAGAGGAGTAGAGCGCGAAGAGGATTTTACTGGCCCGAGCAGACTCCGCACGGGACGAGGTAGAGCGGCTGCATGGGGGCGTTCGGGGAGTGACGACGACCTTGAGGATTGGAGGACACTTCCCATATCCTAGTAGTCGACTGCGTGTGACACTTCCGTGCTTCGTGGCGGAGGAGCTTTGGGGACTTAGACGTCTTGGTGAGATCTACTTTGCGGCTCTTGACTTGGAAGGCCTTTGCCGAGGGTACGCTGACAGGGACTGGGTGCTGTATGCGCAGTTTGTAGCGGGGCCGCTTGTAGGCGAGCGAGGGCTCCAATTGATTGAGTTCCTGCGGGTCATTGTACCTACCGGGAGCCCAGACCTGTATTCTCTGTACCAGCCCCTAACCTTCTGGGCGACGCTAGAGAGAGAGGCTCGGAGGCCAACTGATCATTTAGCTGGTGTGGGACAACTGCTAGCTGAGACTCGTGAGGAGAGGCCGGACCATCTCATCTCGACCGGGGAGGTTGAGGAGTATTTCCAGCAGGTATATCCAGAGGCTGGCGGTCTTGCGTGGTACGCCGAGGATCGGGATCGGGATTGGCGACCAGGACGAGGAATGGGGAGATCTGGCGCGGGGTGAGCGACAAAAGCAGGTAGGTGGAGAGGCGCCGCAAGAGGACGGTTGGGGTCATCTCCTTCAGGCCGAGGGACAGGAGGACATACCATGGGGGCAAAGAATAGATGAGGATACAGACGAGGATATGCCAGATGCATGAGACAACTAGAGGCAGGACATATCCGAGTGAGGGTTATAGAAGGGAGTAGTGGGAAGGATGGCAGACCGGGATATACTGAGGGTGACTCTTTCCCTGCGACAAAATAGGACAGGTGGCTAGGAAGGAGAGGCGTTAGAGGTTGTTGAGCGACAGATCAGGCTCAAGACGGAACACACCTTGGAGATACGGAGAAGCCAGAGGTACGTCGAGTTTACTATCCACTTCCATGGAGCAGACGGGAGAGCGCACAACACCTACTCAACCATACTGGACCTGAGTGGGAGAGTTGTGTGAGAAGTTAGCAACGTCGAGAGATAGGGTGTCTCGGAGGGAGTAGAGTGATGCTGATCGAGAGTCGAAGGGGAGATGAGGCGTGACTTAGTAGCCTGACTAGCTTATGTTCTCTCACGAGAGTCTGAATCGTATAGTGTGAGGAAGCTTGTGGGACCTAGAGAGACGGTGGTTGCATACGACATTCCTCTTCCCGTGGCGTTAGAGGGAACAGGGCTTGTTCCGATACGATACCTGGAAACGTGGCTCGCAGAGGGACTCTTCCTTTGGATAGTGATACTGAGAGATGAACGACCAGAGAGGACTCATGACCTAGAAGGAGTCGGACATCTGATAGCGGATAGACCACACGATTCAGAGATAGGACTATCGCTTGCAGGGGCAAGCAGGGCTTGGTGGAGAAGCGAGTCGTTGGCCAGAGTGATCGTTAATCAGCAACTGGCGAGACTCTCTGGAGGGAGGACGCGTTGGAGCCGGTTGGGTCCTCCGCATCCGACCCTCCACCCAAGAGAGGATTGGCGATTCGGACTTCCTGCCTTCATGATAGGGCAGACCTATGGGAGTATAGAACGTTTGAGTAGAGCAGTGGACCACATACTTTACGCGCTCTGGGATGGCTTAGCGCCCCATTTTAGGGAAGTATACTACGCCATTTGTGTGAGGTGGGGGTCACCCAGTAGAGAGACGCTTGACGACATCATAGACGTTACTAGCTGGGTGGACTGTCTGAGGCCAGTCGATCTGATTAGGTACTGCAGGAGACGAGCGAAGATCGATTACGTGGGGCTAGAGGTTGTGAGGTTCCTCTTCGAGGCCGCAACTTAGGGAATGTCGGGGAGGACGGCCACAGTGATGCGTGTAGGAGAGCAACTGGTAAGCACAGGGTACACTGCGACAGTGCTTCTCCGAGCGTACGTAGAAGAGGACTTGACGGCGAGGGCGTGCCGACAACGAGCCAGAGATTTGATCCACGAGCATAGAGCTGATGTACTGGCGCGGATGACCTTCCACACCTCGATTTCCTATGAGGTGATGATATGGTCTCATGGCTATATGTGTGCGGAGCACTTCCACGACGAGACGGTAGCGGAGGCTAGAGCAAGGGTGAGAGGATGAGCTGGGAAAAGATGAAGAATGAGTATGGAAGGGGAGAGTGAGGCAGTCGAAAGAGTGAGAGAGCGCATTAAAGAGCCACTCTTGAACCAGGTAAAGAAGTTGGGGAACAAGTTAAGGGAGATCTGGTCGTGCCAGGATGAGGACAAGTTGCGTAGGGCTGAGCTCGTGACGAGAGAGTTTGAGAGTCTGTTTAGGGAGGAAAGAGAGATTATCCAGGCGTGGAGATCAGACTTTCTGAAGAGGGTAAAGGCTAGAGGCGTATCACGCGAAGGAACCAGTGAGCGATCTGCAGAGAGCGTGACGACGGAGGACAAGGTAACGCAGGGAGGTAGCGACAGGACATGAGCGGGACTGCACTACACACGACGGATCGGTACTCATTGCATGTGGTAGGGAGACTAGACAGACCATTGGTGTTAGTGATCGTAGAGCTCCAACTCCATACCAGACTGTGCATAGTTGAGGAGGCAGAGTGTGTCCGCCGTGCGCTGCGTGAGGCCAGGGGGACAAGACTTTGGATTGGAATAGAAGAGGGGGCGGAGGATAAAATATGTACTCCAAGTAACACGCTTCGAAGGGCGGCCTCGGATAAGGGCATGGTACGAGACGACCAGGGAGGCTGAGAAGTTGAAGATAAGTGAAGCCAGGAAAGCTGGAGAGCTAGGGAGAGTTGTGACAGACGGTGCAATACTCAGGGTGCTAGCTGCTCACGATCGATAATGGAGGGAGTCGATAAAGACTTTAGAGGCCATAGAAGATAGTGGAGATGAACAGGATTTTGAGACATTCTATGACATATTGGAGCTGTCGGCGATGAGGTTACGAGTGGTTATAGCACTGACTTACCTCAGATGCTAGACAAATGACCTTATAGCCGTCTGGGAGTTGAAGGAGGCGAAATAGAGATTGAAAGCTCTTGGAAAGATAGTGGGAGCTAGAAAGGACGACGAGCGACTTTGGATGGCAGTAGGAGGGGAGCTTCCACCTTTGGCAGGCTACCTGATTCAGGACGGGCTAGGAAACCTAGCAAGGAGGACGGAGATAGACGCACGGAGGCTCTTGAGGGGAGCTGATCAGGAGGCATTGGCTAGGCTTGGGACTGCGATTTGCCGCAGGCATAGAGATCCTGTCACCAGTATACTGCAGATTCGGAGAGGCGCGGCCTTGTTGGCCGATCCCGAAGGGGAGGTTTACCTAGACACAGGGATTCTTAGGGTAGAAGGAGAGTACGAGATCCGCGACCGGAACCGAGTACTGGTGGTAGTGATCAGGGCAGTCGAGAGCTAGGGTTGGTGACGAGCGTGGACCGTGACAAGGAAATTGGTCCGGGCTGTGAGTTCTGTCACAGGTCCGGGCTGCAGCAACTGTCATAGGTCCGGGCTGTAACACCCGGCGAGAGTGCCTAACTGCGTCTTCTGGTGGCCTGTGGAACCAGACACGATGGGGTCACAACCGACCACGATAGAGACAGGAGAGGAGTACAGGACATCGCCCGACCGAGCTCTGAGGGATCTGAAGGAACGAATTAGGCGGGACACACCGCTGAGATGGGCTGACCAAACCAATGACGGAGAGCCCGACGTAATGGGCGAGCCGGTCGTAACGGAGCCGCAGGAGGCACTGAAGACCGGAACCTCGAGCGGTCGACGAGAAGCGACGAGACGACGCTCCCCCGAGTATGACCGGAGGGAGACCATGACGGATAGGCACAGAGACGAATGGCGAGAGAGTTCGAGGGATTCCCATTGGAGGGGCAGAGATAGAGACAGAGTGCCGCCCAGGCGAGTCTTCGACCCCCAGACAAGGGAGTCGCATCCGGTCCCTTACGAGAGCAAGGATCGCTATATTATTACGCACAAGGCCTCTGAGCCACCTGCTTTTAGGGGTTATGGCATTACAGAATATCTGGAGAAGTGGGAGCTTCATGCAAGTCGGAGTCAATGGCCGGAGGAAGAGATTATAGAGAACTTCCTATTTAATGTGGACCCAAGTCTCGGTAGGGAAATTAAGGAAGCTCGACCGAAGGATGGGAAATGAAGTACGTACAAGAAGAACCTCGTTGAGCTTTACAAATTGGAGGATAATAAGTATTCCATCAAGGACCTTGAAACAATGACTCAAGATGAAGATGAGAGCGTACGGGCATTTGGGATGCGTTTCTAGAAGATCTCCGACGTGCTGATGAAGAAGGGGAAGATCTCAGAGGTCGAGCGCTGTACTATCTTCATCGGACACCTGTCCAAAGGAAGACAAAAAAGTATACTTAGAGACCTTCCGCGCGACAAGCTTGACTTCCCAGAAGTCCTAAAGCTCGCGATAAAGGCAGAGGCATATGACTACAAGGACTTGGTGTGGAGAGGGATAAGGAGACGAGACTTCTCCCTTTACAAGGAGTATGCCACCGATAGATGTCCTGATTTCAAGGACCATCATTGGTCGGAGAAGAATGAAGCCGTGGTCGAAGAAGTGAAGGAGATAAGGGACATGGTAAAGGGATTGACAAGACAGGTTACAGAAATTGTAACCACCACAGGAGCCACGGCATACCGGGACAAGCCTGGAGGGCCCTATTCACTTCGCGGGGACCGGAGGAACACTGATTCCTGGAAGAGTGTCGAGGAAAGAAATCCTCGAACGCTGACTGATTATCGTACGAGGGAAAGAGAGAGAAACGATAAGCCATGGCGACGAAGGGATGATGAGATAGACCGGGACCGCAGGACTCGCGAGATGTATGGACGTGCTAGGAGACTGGATGACTACTCGCGTAGCCCTCGCTACGAGCCTGACGGGGCTAGAAGTGACTCTCGAGGCCGATGGGATATAGGGATGGTAGATATGAGATATCGGACCGCGATGGACAAAGAAACGACAGATATGAAAGGTTGGACCGAGACGGATACAGGGATGACAGATACGCGAGATCGGACCGGGATGGATATAGGGACGGAAGATATGAAAGAACGGATCGAGATGGATACAGAGGTGGCGGATATGAGAGAGGATATCGAGACGGGGACCGGCGAGACGACTCGCGCGGACGGTATGACCGCGGGGGATACACAAGAGAGCAGCGCGACGATTCACGGGGATGGTGCAACCGAGGAGATCAACGTGATGAGTTGCGCGGGCGATACGACATTGGGACCGCCGAAACCATTCACGAGGGCGATATGAGCCATGAGGATCTGGGGGAGACCGCCGCAATGATTCGCGCGGGAGGTATGAGAGAGGGGGATATGACGCTTCTGCAGAACCATATCCGAAGTCCCCTGACCCCAGAGCAGCGAGAGGATCGACCTTTAGAGGTGTAGACGACAGGCCACTCACTCCCAGGAACTCTTGCGTCTACTGTAGAGGAGATGATCATATTAAGAGAGATTGTCCGGACCTCAAACCGGCAATAGATGAGAGACTTGTCGTGCTTGACGACCGCAAGTACGTCAAGTGGGCAGATGATCTGGAAGATGTATCGATGTTCCCTTCGATGAAGGAGAATGTCGAAGCAAGGAGAGTAAAGYCGAGTAAAGGAAAGGAGYYGGTCAGGAGCCAKAGCATYAAGATAACCTTTGAGGGGGATATGGCGACCACACCCATAAGGGTGGCAGCCACCAAGTCGGCGAGAGGGTCTACATCGAAGAAGACTGACACGGATTACAGGATGGCGGAGAAGGATGGACAACGGATCGACGGAGAGGAGGTTATTCTTTCGCCGCGAAAGCGGGGAGTGAAGAAGTTCTTGATGAAGAGTTCGCTGGACGAGATTGACACGGTCGAGCCACTGAGGCGGGCCCTTCGGCAGCCCATGCAGTCCTCTATTCTGGAGTAGCTGGCGGCATCGAAGCCGGCTCGCGATGAGTTACAGATGATCACACGGAAGACTCGCATACCTCTATCGGAGGAGGCTCAGGGGGCCCCTAGGGCGGAAGCTCCTACTGTAGCAGTGACGGGGGTGACTGCCAGAGCGGATCGCATGGCGAAAGTCCTTCTTGATGGGATGGAAGGTGTGCCTCATGAGAAGTTTTACATACTTGGTAGTGGGGCCGTGGAGACGATCATAAACAATGGAGCGGTACTAGATGCTGTGATCGATAACGACAGCGAGGCTGTCATTATAGACGAGGATCTGGCAGTACAGGTTGGACTGGGCCTCGATAGGTCATACCTATTTGAGATAGAGATTGCTGATGGGAGAAAGCAACAGATCACTGGGGTTTGTCACGAGGCAGCCATAGAGGTCCAAGGGGTACGAGTGACCCTGCCCGTCTTTGCAGTCAAGAACTGCAGCTCCGATCTGCTCTTGGGACGAACATGGTTGAGCCACGTGCACGCGGTGACTATAGAGCGACCGGATGGGATCCAGACATTGTCCATTAAGAAGCTAGATGGGACGAGGGTTATGATTGAGACGTTGAGCCTCGGGACCCGAGGAACAGAGCAGCTCTTGCAGTGGGAGCAAGACCCAGTGATCAGATTAAGTCATTACCTATCTCTGGCCACGCGTGCGATTTCGTGAGAAGAAGTATGGACCACTGCTCACAGAGGAAGAAGGTCGGATCGTGGAAGTGGAAGATTTGGGGAGTCGGCTGATAGCAGACGACAACTCTTATCCAAAGGAGACAAATGAGGAATTTGGCGGGGTGGTATCTGTGTCTTTTTTAAGGGCACGGCCCCCTATGGGGGACTACCCAAGCGACACAAGTGAGAAACTCAAAAAGTTGAGCCACCGGCGGAGGGCCGCAAGCGATCTGCACTGGAAGGGATATCGGAAGAAGAGATCGCCAAAGAAATCAAAGAAAGAAAGAAAAAGGAGCCGCAACGCCTAACGGAAGAGAGAATAGCAGGGATGGACATCGGAGATGGAAATCTAACCCCGCATGAGCGAGAACGTGTGATAGAAGTCCTGAAGACATGCGATAAGGCTATAGCTTTCAGTGACGCAGAGCGCAGTAGGGTTGACCCTCGATACGCTAAGTCAGCAAGGATTTACACGATTTCACATGTTCCTTGGAATGACGCAGGATGAAAATATGCCAGAAGGAGAAGGAAGAAGTTATCGCTTTCCTGAAGGAAAAGATGGTTTCCCATGTTGCGGAACCGTCTGATAGCGCTTATGCTAATCGATGGTTCTTCCTACGGAAGTCGAATGGCAAGATCCGATGGATCCAGGACCTTCAGAAAGTCAACGCGGTGACGATACGAGACGTGGGGTCCGTGCCACACACCGATTTACTGGTTGAAGGTGCCGCGGGCAATTCGATTTATTCGGTGTGTGATCTGTTCTCAGGGTATGATGAGGTACCGCTTGATCCTAGGGACAGGCACCTCACGGCTATGCACACGCCATTGGGACTGATACAGATGATGGTCGTCCCTATGGGTTGGACTAATGGGGTAGTCGTTTTTCAGAGAGCCATGGTAGCCGTCCTCAAGGACTTCATCCGTGATAAGGTTGAAGTTTTTTTAGATGATTTTCCTATTAAGGGGCCAGTAAAGAAGGATGAAACCGAGGTTGTACCAGGAGTTAGAAAGACTCGTCGAGCAACACCTAACGGATATTTGCGCAGTACTCGAGCAGCTGGACGATGCGAATTTAACGGTCAGCGGAACAAAGAGCCGATGGGTCGTCTCGACTGTTAAGATCTTGGGCTTTATCTGTGACTCGAGAGGACGCCGAGCAGATCCGGCGAAGCTAGACAAACTCCTGAACTGGCCGTCACCGTTACATAGTCTAACCGAGGTCCGACGGTTACTGGCGTATATTCATACAGGGGTATGTGGAGAAGGCTGAGCCATTGAGGTTACTCCTTCGAAAGACTGAAAAAATTTACTGGGATGCTTCGCAGGAACTCGCAATGCAAGAACTTAAAGACGAATTTAAGGAGGGAGGACGCGTACTGGGCATGCCTCTTTGACGAGGAGACCGAGAGACCCTTCATAGTATCCATGGATGCTGGACCTTGTTCAGTTGGAGGGTTGTTGTCTCATAAAGACGCTGAAGGAAAGGAAAGGCCATTAAGGTTTGAGAGTATGACACTTAATATGGCAGAACGAAACTACAGTCAATTCAAGAAGGAAGTGTTGGCCGTTCTGCGGTGTCTGGACACGTTCAGACACTATATCTATGAGCGTCGGTTCATCTTGAGAGTAGATCCCACAGCGGTTGCCTCTGTCCTCCAGAAGGACTTTAGCCTGACAGACCCGACCATTGCTCGATGGCTGATACAAATTCGGCTATATGATTCCGCAGTTGAGAGGATATCTGGCACTAAAAATGTCATGGCAGATGGGCTTTCGCGCATCCCTCTTGAGGCCGAGCGCCCGATAGTAGCTGGGGCAGAGCCGAGGCAAGCCAAACGATTTCTGGTTAACCTTTACGAGGGCAAGTACCGAACGATAGGGCTACACTTGTCAGGAGAGGAGAGTCAAGAATCAGATATCCGGAGACAAGTGGCGCAGTATTGCCTCAGAGCCGGCCATCTATTTCGAAGGCTGGTCGGCTCGGGGATGCCCTTACGAGTAGTCTGTGACCCTGAGGAGAGTCAGACGATAGTTGCGGAACTTCACGACGGGGTAGTTGGAGGACACAGGGGAGTCAAAGGAACCTACCAAAAGGTAYGCAGGTTGTACTGGTGGGAAGGACAGTATAAGGACGTCGAGAGGTACTGCATAACCTGCGAGGAATGCCAGAAGAGAGCTCTTGTGAAATACAAAGAGCCTCTCCATCCATCCTATCCCACCAGACCAGGAGAGAATGTACATATCGATCTGGTGAAGATGCCGAAAGGAGTAGGCAATATGAGCTACGTCGTGAACATACGAGACGATTTCACTGGGTTCRTGGACGGTAGACCTATCAGGAGTAAGACGGCAAAGGAATTGAAGAACTTCGTCCTGGAGTACTTATCTAGGTATGGTTGCGTCAGCAAGATAGTGATGGACAGAGGGTCTGAGTTTTTAGCTGACGAGGTTCAGAGTGTGTTCAAGAGAGTCGGGGCGAGAGTTTCGATAGCCACCGCCTACCAGGGTTGTCACGCGGGGATCCCCGGGGCCCAAGCCGGGGTACGGGTTTCACCCCCGGACCCACCCGCGCCCCAGCCATTTAACCCTCG